CTGTCTCCGTGCTGTTGTCGCCCTGTTGATGACGTCAGCGAAGTGGTTTAGTCGGGCGCGGTTTAGTCGAGCACGGTTTTGTGGTGGAACCGATCTAAGAGACTACCACAAAGAAGAGAGGGTCAGCCTATTCTCTAAAGCACCTGAGCGCAGGACAAGAAGCAATGTGTGGGACCTAATCAAGGAGAGGAGCAACCTTCCTGACAGTCAAAACAGTTAACCAGTAGAACGATTTGTCTCCAGAATTTGCAGGGAGGTTTTTAAGAAGAATTTGGACTAGCATTCATCTGAAATGGTACAGGGCAGCGATGGAGAACCTTTTTTGGCTCGCGTGCCATAAGCCACGGGGGTCGTGCGTGGGCCTGTCGCACCCATAATGCAACGCGCCCCCTCAGCGCACATATGCGCATAACAGGCACTTCCCCCCATTTTTGCATGCTTTTTTTCATCCTCCCAGGTTCCAGAGGTTTTATAGGAGCCTGGGGAGGGTGAAAACAGCCTCCCTCCCCCCCTTGGAGGCCCTCCGGAGGCTTCAGGAGCTTCTTGAAGTTCCAGTTTGCTCATAGGGTTGTTTTTTCATCCTCTGGAGCCTCAGGAAAGCCTCCAGAAGGCCCCTGAAGGCTCCGGAGGGCTTAAACCGGCCCTACGAGCAAACCGGAAGTCCATTCCCGAACTTCCAGTTTGCCCATAGGGCCGGTTTTTTGTGCTCCAGAGGCTTCAGGGAAGCTCTTGAAGCCTCCGGAGGGCCTCCGGCGGGCGGGGTAGGCTGTTTTCGCCCTCCTCAGGCTCCTATAAAATCTCTGGAGTCTGGGGAGGGTGAAAAAATGGCTTTAAAAAAAGGCTGAACTCAGCCTGCCAGTGCGCGCATGCGCACTGGGCAGCTGACAGGGCAACATGCCCTGACAAATGACTCCACGTGCCACCTGGGTATAAGGTTTCCAGCCTGAGCAGGGGGTTGGATTAGAAGACCTCCAAGGTCCCTTCCATTATTCTGTACTTCTTCTACTTGAATATATGCAGAGGCCACCTCTAAAACACAACCGAGACAGCCTTCTCAGTCTGTTCCAGCATGCCCCTCCTTTCTGCTTCTCTCAGGAAACCAGGGGAGACACGATAGCATCTTCCAATATTCGAGGAGCTGCCAGAGAGAGGAGGGGGTCAAGCTATTTCCCAAGGCACCTGAAGGCCAGACAAGGAATAATGGATGGGAAACTGACCAAGGAGAGATTCAACCTGGAAATAAAGAGGAATTTTCTGACAGTGAGAACGATCAACCAATGGAATAGAAGTTGCCTTCAGAAGTTGAAGTTGAGAGATGCTAGCCAGAAAAAAACAAATAGGGAAACTAAAAGATCAGAAGCTTTCAATAAGAGACTGGACTGCCATCTATCAGAAATGGTGTAAGGTCTCCTGTTTGGAGAGGGTGGACTAGATCAGGGGTCCCCAACCTTTTGGATCTCAGGGACCACTAAATTCATAATTTTAAATACCACAGACCACTAATATGACCTACCTAATGATTGGCTGGCTGGGCGTGGCTACGTGGTCATGTGACTGGATGGGCGTGGCCAACCTGATTTCACTTAAATCAAGGGGCGCCTCGCTAGCCACTACTTGCCCCTCCCCTCCCAGCCACTCCTAACCTGCCCGCCAGTCTCCTTAGGGCCCCAACAGGAAGCAGCTGTTGGAGCTAGGCAGCCACCATGAGAAAGACTTGGCCAAAAGCTGGCTCAGTTCAAATTGGATCTGACTGAGGAGGAGGCTCAGCAAAAGCACCTCACTGAGGACTACGAGCATAGGCTTTCCAAGCAGAAGGAAGGACCTGCGGGAGTGCCAGGCCTGATACCGGCGCCTGAAAGCTCAGCAGGCTGAGATGGTCAGCCAGTTCCAGGCCATGATGCAGTCCCACTGAAACAAGGCTCTCTGGCCTTTGCCCAAAGCCCCGCACCAGGAGCTGAAGCAGATCCCAAGTAGGAATTTCTGCCCCTCTTCTGACCCACACCAAAAGACCCCAAAACAGGAGACTCTCTGCAGCAACACAAGCATTCATTGCACGTATCTGGCCCAGGGGGCGTAGTTTGAGGACCCCTGATTTACTGCCATGTAAAAAATGCAAATAATTTTTCTGCGGACCACCAAAATTTTCTCACGGACCACCCATTGGTGACTACTGCCATAGCGGGGAATCAGGCAAAGTTGGCCAAGACTCCACACCCAGGTCATCCTGCTATCTAAGCCCACACCCATCTGGGATTAGTAGCCAACCCTCAAGTCTCCTCACCCCACCTATTAACTGGGGGGTGGGGATCTGGTCAAAGGCAGCCATCGCTTCTCTCTTCCCCCAAACCCTTTCCCTAGGGATGCTGGTTAAAAAAAAACCAAAGTGGGAAGAGCGGTGGGGTGGTGCTGGAGGACCTCAAGATGACCCACTTCTGCTTCCGTCTCCAAGGAAGCCCATCTTCTCCCACCGCCAAAGAATTCCCTCACCACTGTCAAACCGTTCACTAAGGCTACATTAACATTACTATTAGTCTCCTCATCACTCTTATCACCCATCTCCTCCCACTTATGACTGCAGGAGTGTAACTTTATTGCTTGCGTCCTTACTATTGATATTGATATTGTTTCTTGATTGCTTATTTGTACATTAAGACTATCATTAAGTGCTGTATCTTATGATTCTTGACAAATGTATCTTGTCTTTTGATGTACACTGACAGCATCTGCACCAAAGACAAATTCCTTGTGTGTCCAATGACACTTGGCCAATAAAGAATTCTATTCTGTTCTATTTTTCATCCTTAGACATTTTAAGAACTACAATTCCTTAGGTTGGCTGGGAAATTCTGGAAGTCCACCAGTCTTAAAATGGCCAAGGTTATGAAACACTGGTTTAGAACAGGTAGTCCTCAACTTACGACCATTTATTTAGTGACCTCTCAGTTACAACAGTACTGGGGGGAAAAATGATTTAGGATCATTTTTAACACTAACAAACGTTATAACATCCCCATGGTCACGGGATCAAAATTCAGACGCTTGGCATCTGACTCATGGTTATGACGGTTGCAGGCACCTAAGGTCACATGATCCCTTTTTACGACCTCCTGACCAGCAAAGTCAGTGGGGAAGCCAGATTCCCCTTAACAACTGTGTGACGGACTTAACTGCAACGATTCACTTAACAACGGCGACCAGGAAGGTTGTAAAACGGGGGCAGTTCACTCAACAAATGTTTCGCTTAGCAACAGAAACGTTGGCTTCCATTGTGGCTGTAAGTCAAGGACTACAGCTACTGTTTTCAGAAGGATTGGTAAGAAATCATAAATTCAGTTAGATGAATTATCGAGAGAGGATGCATACCTAAAGGCTATTGATTTAGGATCTTTTTTTAATCAATAAATTAAAAGAAAAGAATTCTATTCCATTTTTCATCCTTAGCCTTGGTGTTGGCTGGGAAATTCTGGAAGTTGAAGTCTAATAAATTAATATAAAAGAGAGAAGGAGAGTAGATAGGAAGGAGGGAAGAAAGGAGGGAACTTAAGAGAAGAGAAAGGAAGGAGGGTAGGAGGAAAGGAGGGAGGGAAGATATGAGAGAAGGAGGGGGGAAGAAGAGAGGAAAGGGAAGGGGAAGGAAAGGAGGAAAGGAAAAGAAAGGAGGGAAGGAAGGAGGGAAGAAGGAGGGAGGGAAGGAAGGGGAGTGGGAAAGAAGAAACAAGGGAAGGAAAGAGGGAGGGAGGGAAGAAGATACCTAACCTTTGATGTCTATAATGATTTTGATATTATGGGAATGTCTTGAAACACAGTCAATTGTAAAGCGAAACAGTGGATGTTGTATTGTCTTTTACCAGTTATTGGTTGTTGTATTTTTCTTTTACTAATAAAAATACTTAATTTAAAAAAAAAAGAATTATATTCCATTTTTCATCCTTAGCCTTGTGTTGGCTGGGAAATTCTGGAAGTGAAAGTCCAATAAATCAAAATAAAAGAATTCTATTCCCTCTTCCCCCCCCCCTACCTGGTTGGGGTCCGTGGCTCGGAAGACGTGGCAGGCGACGGGCGACTCGGGGTCGTCGGGCTGCGCCTTGATCAGGTAGGCGAAGTAGGTGAGGTCCTGGCTGTTGTGGACGAAGCGCGAGATGTGCTGCGCTTTGTGCTCGAAGATGAAGACGGCCGAGCCGGGGCCGCCGCCGGCGGGCGAAGAAGGCACGCAGCGCAGGGTGGGCGCGCCCAACAGCAGCAGCACCTCCCGGGCCGGAGCCGCGCCCGGCTCGGGCTTCTGACTGCGCCGCCGGACTTCGGCCATCAGCCAGGGCAACATGGGCAGCGTGGCGCGCCGGTCCAGGCTGGTGCAACCCACGTACCAGAGAGGGAAGCGTTTCTCGCCCGCCGGCCGAACCGGACCGGGTTCGGGCTCGGGAGCCAACGGGTGCGGGAAGGGCGCCGTCTCCATCGAGGCTCAGGGGCCGGTCGCTGGCTCCCGATCAGCGGAGCTCGGCCTCCGCAGCGCCCAGCCACGCCGGAACCGACCCGCAGGCAGTCAGACAGGCAAGGTCCGCCTTGCTGCGCCTTTCCCCCCCGCTTCTCCTTCCAAGGGGGTCTTGAGCCCCTCCAGCGTGGCCGAGCGCCCTCCGCAAGGCTGGTGGGGCTCCCGCCCGCCGAGGGGGGTGGCCGGCTGGCTTTCCTCGCCCTTGCACAGCCGGGAAGGCAGCCAAAGAGCTGGCGCTGGGGAAAAGGGGCCGCGGTGCCTGCGCCTGCCTTCCTTCCTCCCTGCCCCTTTTGCTGCTGCTGCTGCGGCGGCTGCTGGTGGTGTTTGGTGCTCCAGTTCTGACGGCGCTCCCGGTTCCCTCCCCGGGGGAAGCTGGCGGGCCAATTAGGAGGAGACCTCGTCGCTGGGCGCGGGAGGGAAGGCTCCCCTCACAGCCCCGCGGGCTCGTCCTTGCAGCTCGGCCGCCAGGAAGTCCCGAGATTTGAAAACGGGGGAGAAAAATAGTCTTGTTTTTCTTATTTCTTATGCATTTCTTTTTATAAAAAAAAGTTTTTTTTTGTTTTTGTTTCCCATGCACTCCCCAATATACGTTTCTCCTAAATATCATGAGTATTAATGTGAATCAAGATCACGTGAAGTGTTAATACCACTTTATAACGCCTTGGTAAGGCCACACTTGGAAGACTGCATTCAGTTTTAGTCACCACGATGTAGAAAAGATGTCGAGACTCTAGAAAGAGTGCAGAGAACAGCAACAAAGAGGAACTAGGGGACTGGAAGAACGGTTGCAGGAACTGAGTAGGTCTAGTTTAATGAAAAGAGGGACTAGGGGAGACATGATAGCAGTCTTGGCAATATCAGAGTGCCACAAAGAAAAGGGAGTCAAGCTATTCTCCAAAGCACCTGAGGATAAGACAAGAAACAATGGGTGGAAACTAATCAAGGAGAGAAGCAACCTAGAATTAGGGAGAAATTTCCTGACAGTTAGAACAATTAATCAGTGGAACAGCTTCCCTCCAGAAGTTGTGAATGCCCCAACACTGGAAGTCTTTAAAGAAGTTGGATATTCTGCAATCGAGTTTGGTATGGTTCACCTTAAGTTTGTATCTATTGTGTGCTTGCGTATTATTGTGGTTGCCCCCCCCCAAAAAAAATGGATCAAGAAGGAAGGAGGTGAGGCAGCCAAGATGGGTGGGCTGGAGCAGGAGTCCCTCCCCTCCCCCCCAGTGGGAGCTTTGGAGGGACCCCATCTCTGCGGTTCCCATGAGAACCAGCCCTTCTTCTCTTTAAATGCAGAGCGTGGATAGCCTCCCTTGGAACAGAACAGAATAACAGATTTGGAAGAGACCTTGTAGGTCATCTAGACCAACCCCCCCACCTCGCCCAAGCAGGAGACCCCACACCATTTCTGACAGCAGTTCAATCTCTTCTTGAAAGCTTCCAATGATGAAGCTCACACAACCTCTTAAGGCAAACTGTTCCATATCTTTCTAATCTAACTATCTAATCTATCTATCTAATCTATGTATGAACACAATACAATTCATGAATAAGAGAGAAGAGTTGAAAGGGACCTTGTAGGTCATCTAGTCCAACCCTCCCCCTCGCCCAAGCAGGAGACCCTACACCATTTCTGACAGCAGTTCAATCTCAACCTTGAAAACTTCCAGTGATGAAGCTCCCACAACTTCATAAGGCAAACTGTTCCATATCTTTCTAATCTATCTAATCTATCTAACTATCTAATCCAAATATGACTAAACTAGACTAGAAGCGTTGCAAGGGACCTTATAGGTCACCTAGTCCAACCCCAACCAAGCTGGAGACCCCTACACCATTTCGACAGATGACAGTCCAGTCTCTTCTTGAAAGCTTCCAATGATGACGCTCCCACAACTTCTGAAGGCGAGCTGCGTCGTGTCCTGTTACTTTAATGTCCTGAGAATTAAGAGACTCCGCTCATTGCCAATGCAAATACATCGATCAGGGCAAGGCAACGCTTTGGAGAATGCTTTGGATCGCTGCTCCCCACCCACCCCGGCGCGGGGCCAGGGCCTCGGGCTGGAACAGCAATGAGACTCGCCCGGGGTTGCGTCTCTATAACTTGCCCGGGCTTGCCGGCAGCCCCACAGCTTGCGCGTTTTTGCCTGGGAAACGGCAGCTGTGCCCTCTCAGGAGCTGCGGCTTGCTGGCGGAGGTGCAACAGAGGCCAAACACCTGATTCTCTCGCAGAGCCGTCGGGAGCAAAGCGTGCACATACCTGGGCGGGCTCTCCGCGCCAGGCACCTGCACGCACCGGGCGTTGTTGGATTAAAGATAAAATGCTTTAAAAAAAAAATCAAATATGCATCTCTTCCCAGCACCGTTGGGGCAGCAAACCCTTTCGCCTCTCTCGTTATCAGCGGCTTGGGACAATCCTTCAAGTTCTTTGTAGTGTTTCTCAAACTTCAACAGTCCTTGTTAGAAGATCTGTGGACTTCAACTCCCGACATTCCTCCGCCGGCCTCGTGAGGAATTCTGGGAGTTGAAGTCCTCAGATCTGAAAAAGTTTTTGTACAGCTTACTGAACTGAACCCAAATTAAATGTGTTTTTAATTGCCTTTTCTTTCTTGGTTCTAGTTATAGTTAATAGGTTTTCCTGAGCTTGTGTGTCGACTGGGGAATTCTTTCCTAACAGATGCATTACAAATGGGTTCAGGGCAGCTTCATTGATAGCCATGAAACATAATCCCCCTTTATATATATTTAAAAAAAAACCCATGCCAATTCTTTCAGGAAGGAAGAAAAGGAGAGAGAAGAATGGAGGGATGAGGAGAGAGGAAGGAAGAAAGGAGAGGGCTAGTAGAAGGGAGAGGGGGAGGGAGGGGGAAGGAAAGAAGGGGGCACTAGAAAGAAGGGGGAAGGAGGGAAGGAAGGAAGGAGAGAGAAGAATGGAGGGAGGAGAAGAGAGGAAGGAAGAAAGGAGAGGGCTAGTAGAAGGGGGAGGGGGAGGGAGGGGGAAGGAAAGAGGGGGTAGTAGAAAGAAGAGGGGAAAGGAAGGAAGGAAGGAAGGAAGGAAGGAAGGAAGGAAGGAAGGAAAGGAGAGAGGGGGCAGTAGAATCGAGGGAGGAGGAGAGGGGAAGAGAAGGAAGGAGGGATGGAGGAAGAAAGGAGAGAGGGGCAGTGGGAGGGAGGAAGGAAGAAGAGGGGTAGTAGAAGGAAGCGAGGGAGGGATGGAAGAAGGAATTACATTAGGAAACAAACAGATAGGGTAACTTTTCANACTGAGTCCCCTTCGGGGAAAAGGGCGGCATATAAATGTAATAAATCCAATCCAATCCAATTATCAGTTCCAGCCTGTTAATCTGAGCAGCTCACTTAAGGAATTATTTCAGGTGGTCAAAATCACCTTTTTCCATCAACTGGTTGGTGCTCAGAACAGCATGCTGCATCTGGATGCTCAAGAGCCAAGAAGTTACTGTACAATGGCAAGCAACCTGGCTTGAAACCTCGGCAGAAATCTCCCAACAATAGTTGTAGAATACATAAAGGGATCCACAAGTGTCATAGTCAACTAGTAAGCCAACATAATTTGTTTTGGGGACAGTGGAAACTGTATCCAAAGGTATTTCTGCAGATTACAGAGAAGTGAAGAACACCAGTGATTAACTTATTTGTAGACACACAACACAGGCAAATGCAGGAGAACTTATCAACGGAAGCCCCATCATCACATTTCCTCCAGTTGTGACATCAGTTAAAATGGCATGCAGAGATCAGTAGGTGAGGAATTAATTCATCCTTGTCATCCTACTATTGACCTCTGATTTTTGAATGAAGTCAGTAAGGCAGACACCTGCAAATTTGTCAACAAACTCCATCTGCCGTCTAAATAGCAGCCAACATAAATTCAATTTTAATTCTCATCTCTAAATACCCAACCATGTCCAAGTTGTATCAGATGGCCGAATAGGATATTCCAAGGATATTGGAAGGAAATGCACCAAGCACAAAACACCAGGCGTTCCATTCTCTTGAATGATACTATGGCATTCATTTAGATTTGTCCAAATAAGTTGGATAAGTTCTTTTAGTTGTATTACGTATTTTCTAAGCACTAACAGTGAAAATAACACACAAATCTTGCAGCTGAAGGGGGGGTTACCTAGAGGACAGGAAGGAAATTCTGCTTTGGCCCTACCTGCTGTCCTGGCAAGTTCATTGTCTAGTGACCCAAAGGCCACTTTGCAGTAAATCCAACTACCATTTAACTGAAAACACTTATAAATCAGTACAATATTTTTAGGATTCGGGAATCCACAAGAAAAAAAA